CTGTTTTCTTGAAGATAATATTTTTTACTTTCTGTTTTAAAATGTCATTGTAGCAAATTAATATCATAACACTGTTTAAAGCCTACAAATCTTTACGTTTTTGTTTGAAATTTGCAGTTTTTACCTAAATAATGACAGTAATCACATATCAAACATTAACTAACGTAGCAGCAGCAGATTTAGACATTTTTATCTCCTCGCCTCATTGATTTTTTTTTTTACAAAAAGAAATAGGTAATTAGTTGTTTTTTGTTGTTATTATTATAGGATTTTTATGATGTTTATATTTATATTTTAAATGCTTTTATTAAGTTTCATTTCAGGGTTTTTGTCCTCTGGCTCAAGATCCAGGTTACTCACTTTAGGGCCAAAAACATATAATATAAATGTATATGTACACGTATGTTTATAAATATATATTTACATGTGTGTGTATATGATGCACTTTATTATCACATATTTAGATCTGAGCTGATCTGAGGATAGATCAGTTTATTTGCAAGTATTTWTTTTTTATTTTTTGTTTTCTGTCCTGCCTTTTATGCTTGAAAACAAACTGTCCTTTGGGGACATATACATTTGAAGCCAATATAGTTAAACTTGTTAAATAAAACAGCTGAAAACYTACAAACCCATTAGGTGTTTGTGTTTTACAGTTCTCCTGATTACTAGATAATGATACCTGAGTATTTATTGTAAATCTGAGGTCAGACTTTATTAAAAAAAAAGTCTGTCTGTATTGCAGCAGTGTGTGCACTTGTCGCCGAGCGTCCGTCCTGCAGCTTGTTGTAAATCACCACATCAAGTATTTATAAGGTTAAACTTGGGAACTCTGCTGCTGTTAGCTTTTGAATTAGTGAACTCAGGCCGAGGGAGGAGGACGGGGAGGGAGCGGGGTGATGAGCACTGTTCTTCCACCTCTCTCTTCAGGGGCTGGAAGCTGCTGGTGGGTTAGGAGAAGAAAGAGTGCCACCCTGTGGCGGGCCGGCCTCCCTGTCAGAGCACGGGCACCAGCCAGCATGTTCAGAYCTGACGTTTTGTGTTCCTGCTGAAGCAGGCCGTTCTCCTCCCTCAACATCATTCCTCCACGTTAGACTTTCACGCTTTGGTCTTTTAATCCAAGTGGGCGAACGCTGATAATGCCTCACATCTCCCCTTATCAGCGCTGTTCCATGTTCACGCAGCGTGTCCCCATCACGTGTTCACAGTGTGGGTTCCTGTGGTGTATCACTGCTCRCAGCCCTCAGCGTGGCGTGGTCAGTGGTACAGTGACAGACTTTTTCCTTCCGCTCGGGTTAGAGTGTCAAACGTAGCCGTGGATGTCTCACATCTTCTGTTGTTGGAGTCGACGTCCCCCCCMCACCACCACCACCACCASCAGCACTGCTGACAGACCACCTCACAGCCCCCTCTGTGTCAAACGTAAACACAGAGTTACGTCTAAGAGAAGATTTTGTTACAGGAGTTTTAAACGTTCATCAGGTCAAAGTTCATGAAAGTGGTGACTAACACKCCGCGTTCAGAATGTCAAGTGTGCTGTTTTCGGCTCGCGTGTGCAAAAGAGTTAACTTGTGTGTGTGAGTGTGTGTGTGTGAGTGGCTGTTTCCAGCACCGCCATCACTTTCCGATGCCACTCATCATCCCCCTCTTTTTTCACCTCGTCTATCTGATCAATCTCCTTGCTCACTCTCTCGCTCTCTCCCACTCTTTTGTGTCCCCCTTTCCTCTCTCTTCTGTTTTTCTTTTTTCTAATTCTGTTTTGTGTATTTTTTTTCTCTCCCCTGTTCCTATTCTTTTTGAGAGTTGCTTCCTGTTGTGTTGCAGGATGTGGGGAGGAGGTGGGGCCTTGGTGTGGTGGGGGTGTGACTTGTGTGTGTGTGTGATAGAGAGAGAGAAAGAAAAAGGGAGGGAGGGCAATTCAACCATATGATTTAATATGAGAGAGCGACACGGGGAGGGTGAGTGAGAGTTTTTTCTTTGGCGAAGGCGCACACACACACACACTCTCTCACACAGATATGACCAAGACAGCAGCAATAGCAGCGAAGGACTTCTCCAGTATGTGGTTGCCAGGTGAGTGGCTGTCTGTGCAGCTTTGCCTTCATTTGCCAGGACCAATTAAAGCTGAAGGAGAGGGATGTGTGTGTATGTGTGTGTGTGTGACAGAGAGAAAGAGTTGTGTCTCTGCTGTTGATTAATACCACTGAGTCTAACAAGCTCAGCTAATTAGAGAGCATCAAAGGAGGAGAGGTGGTACGAAGTGAAAGGAGGATGGAGGGATGTAAGGATGGATGGATGGATGAGGACCTGCCTGTCACAAGCAGAGGGAAAGGTCACACACCTCACTAGCCCCTGGCTTTCCTCWGACTGTGTGTTTGTGCTTCACATTGAAATCAAATGCTAATCAGAGTTCTCAGTTCTTAGTTTTTATTTGTCACCAGCAGCTTGTTTTCTTTTTCTCATTAAGCGCTGCGGCTTGCTTGTGTTCACCTTACAGATGTTGGGCTGATAAGGGATTTGTGAAACTTTTAAAGTGGTATTAACTTGTGTTTGTGCGTGAGCGTGTAGGCTGGTGCTGATTTCTGCTTTCACCGTCTTCAAATTCAAACGTTTAAATATTCAAGTCCCACGGATTCTGATATTTATTAGAAAAAAGCAGTTTCTTAAAAGGAAACAAAGGTCTCTCAAATATTTATCGTTTTGAGCAACTAAAGCAGATTTTAAAAAAKTGCGACCCTCTTCTGCACACCTCTCGATGGCCTTGTTTTTCTGGTGGTCGGAGTGGCAGACGGTCTCAGCTGACCGACGAAAAGTCTCACCGAAAAAGCTGAGAGAGCTGTTCGCTGAGTCACCGATTTCCAGAAATCAATTTTTTAAATGTCAATTAGCTCGTGTTGCTCATGGTGAAATTTCTGAAGAACAAAAGAAMAAGAAATTTGAAAAAGCAAATAGGATGAATGTACAATGCTTTGTGATGCTTATCTTAAGAGTGGTTCATGGATTTATAAGAACACAAAGTTACTTCTTAACTCGATGTGGTCACTGACGCTGGAAGTTACTGTGATCTAATGAAAAATCAACAAATAGATGTAAAAGTCAATAAAACAGGCATGCAAAAACTAGAGGTGTAATCATTTACATTAAAAAAAACTTTAAATCTTTGCAGAGGTTTTGCTTGCAGCTAAGCCATCACATTTTYTATTTAATTAAATAAAAACAATTTTACTAATTAAAAAAACTATTTTATGAGAATTAGGCATTTGTAAAATTGTTGCATTTTAATCAGAGGAGAAGTAACTTTGTTTGCTTTTCACCTGATCACAGAGCATCAGGTGCAACAAGCAAATAAAGTTTAATTAACACAAAAATCTGAATAATGAATTGACAAGTGTTTACCGTTAGAAGGATTTTTTGCAGTTAAAATACTTTATCTTATCAGTTGTTTACTATTTTCTTAGCTTTTGGTTTTCGTTACACCGTCTTATTTAAATAAATTATTAATTTACTTGGTTTTAGATCAAACTGGTTAAAAATAACTTTCAGCACGAGGAGATGTAATAAAGGATCTGCTTTCAGGGCAGCTTCAGCATTCATTTGTTGCTTATTTAATTTTTCCTGTAATCAGCAGTTATTTGTGAATATTTGATACCATTAATTCAAAATCTACATCTTTTTCTCCAACTTCTTGTTTTTGGGCTGCATGGATGACTTTTTGAAGCTCAAACTATTCAGCTGCCTTCAAAATTAATCTTTCTTTAACAGTTAACAGTTTGTTAAATACGRTGTTTTATCATTTCGTAATTTCTGTGATCCAAAATTATCCGTTATGTCCTGATCCAGGAAGTGGGGCTGAGGGGTTTTGGTTGTAGTTTTGGGTGTTCGAGCTGCAGTGGAGTTTCATCTGAACCAAAATACCCAAAGGAGAATAACAGAAACAATCCAGACTGCTCACACATGCATGCAGTTGTTCCTCGTTCTTTTCTGTTGCATCATTTATTCATGACACAGGATTATGCAGCATTACATTTGATCTGTTTAAGACATGTTGGGCCTGGTGTCTCTGCGCTCACGTGGGTCACAGATAAATAAGCAATAAGCAGAGAGTGGGTCAAAAAATGGACACAAGAAGGTGCATCAGCTTGAGTTTGCCTCTGCAACATGGAAGTCTGCTCACTGTTACGTGAAGCTGCGTGTGCAGCGGTGTGTTGTAAAAAAGACGCGCAGGTTTTTAAAAGATGGCGTGAAAGAGAGAGTGAGAGCAGGTTAATATTAATAGCCATGCTGACAGTAAGTGTCGGGTTTAGCACTCAGCTTTCAACCCGGTACAAGGGGAAGTCGGGAGGGGAAGTGAGAAAAACACACAGCATCTTGATATACTGTCCCACCACCGTATTACTGACCACATTATCCACCACGCTACTGTCTGCAGGCCGCTTCAAACCATGAATCAACACACACCGTTTTCCAGCTGGATCATCATTTCAGTCTGCTGGATTTGTTTTTTAATTTTTATTTATTTTTACAGACTGGAGAGCTGAGCTACAGATGGAACATTTGCAGTAACACCAATATTTTTAGTGACTTTTTTTTTTTAAATAAGAGGAAGATGCTATTTCGGGGCAAATTCAGTGGTTTTTCATCAGAAATTGAGCAACAGCAGATAGTTCTTTAGTTTCAGTAATAGCCTCAAATTGTATACTATAAAAAGGAGGTGCAGGGTGAAATGCTGGAAAAACCACAAACTGACCGGGGTCATGGCTTAAAGTAGATGATGCATCTTTTTTGATCAAAAAATAGCTTCAAATTTTGAAGGGAAATCCTACTGTCAGTGTAGGTTTGCATGTGTGTGTGTGTGTGTGTGTGTGTGTGTGTGTGTGTGTGTGTGTGTGTG